GACGAATTCTACCAATCTATGGGGCATCGGACGATCACGAATCCATACAGACTGTATAAAGATGGAGATTTCATGCCAAAACAACCACCAGACTTTGATTGCGAGGCCTGCCATCTGTCCAAGTCCAACCGTGGCTGACCGATTGGCGACTCTAGTGATCGTCTATCGCCCACCAAACGCCCACCAAACCCTTTGAGGTCATTCACTCAGGCCTCTCCGGTAAATTCTCATGCAAATCTATTGGTGTTTCCCGATACTGCATTTCATTTGTGAACGACACCACCCGCTACACCTGGATTCAATTTCCGAAACTGAAATCGGAAGCCGCGCACACAATCGAGGATTATGTTACTTTCATCGAAACACAGTTCAGCGGGAAAATCGAGCGTCTTGATTTGCGCGCGACTGTCAGGCGAGTGAAATCGGACGAGGGTGGGGAGTATATGCTCACTGCGTTGCAACAATCCCTCTGAGAAAAACGAATTGTCCACGATTTCTCGCCACCATACCACCATGAGCTCATGGGAGTTCCTAAAGGATCCAATCGTACCATTGCTCGGATGGCCTAGGGTATGATCACTCCTGACGAACTGCCTACGCTGAAACCATCACGACCGCGACATTCTTGGTCGACATCTCGCCCCATCCAGCCGAGTAGTTGAGGCGCACCCCTCGCGAACAGCTCTTTGAAATAGAGCCGGCAATCAAACACATCTATCCATCTGGCATTACCGCCTACGTCCACATTCACTAAGAGGCTTGCTCCGCCATTCCAAACTCCTCGACCGTGTTCGAGACGTCCCTGTTGGATACGGTTGTAACTTAAAAACCTTCCCCATCTACACCCCAGCACGGGACGTTGTGGTTGAATACCGGTACGTTCGCTTTCGAGCATTCAAATTATCCCAGGGGCTTTTGTACTTCCGATGTGTTGGCGACGACAAGTCAGAGCCTGGGGATATATCAGAGTCATTGGTCCGCCGCACCAAGACTGAATCGGCAGAATCCGGGGACAATATGACGTTGCTTAATAAACTAACGCCGCTTGGATCTTACAACCAATACACGCTGCCCTCTATCATCATGACAACGACCGCATCGGCGCCACTTATCCGCAGATAACGACTGGATCATCGAACCCGGCATAAAATCTCCATGGTCCTCTGTCAGGCGGCCTGTCGATTTTACCAAGCGCTCTATAACACAACGATCGACTTGATGCATCATTTCAACTCCTCTCAGCAAACAAGGCTTCTCGATCCGGTCGCTCCATCACACGAGAAACACATACGCCGCCCACAGCAACCACTACAAGAGCTGGATGGACGTCTAAAACTCCCCGTCGCTTTGATGACCCTCCTCGTGAGGTTGAGGGTAATATGGCCTGCTTAGAAATACGTGCTGCTCTTGAATTTTCGCACAACATCGACAGTGGTGGAAACGTATACGCCTACTCTGTCGCCCTCGACATTGACAGCATAATTCCAAGCATTTATGCTGAAGCCATAAGCGATGATCTCGCACTCATGTGCAGTCATGCAATAAGAGACGAAATTCAGGTCCATAAGGAGAATGGAGCCTACGAGCTTATGGAGGAATGAGACGTTACTCCAGGTGCAACTCTCGTCGGCATTCGTTGAGTCTTTGCTCTAAAAGTCGATGAGCTCGGCGAAATCATCATGCGCAAAGCGGGAATAGTTGCACAGGGTTTCTCGCAACGGCCAGGAATCGACTACGGTGATACCTATTCACAGGTCATGCGATGCGGCAGCCTCTGCCTCCCTATTCTGATCTGAATCCTCACGGGGTGGAAATTCAGACAAATGGATTTTGACGCCGCGTACCCGAACAGCCTTCTTCAGTACGTCCTCTGCGGTCGATGCCCCCGCCCCGACCTCACAAACAAGCCCATGGTTCTCCTCTTCCGTCGAGCGATTCACAGTTCCAAGTAGTTTGGGGCGCGAGTGGTTTGGTGTGTTGAGGGAAAGCGTGTTGTCTTCTGGTGGTCCTTCGTCCATGGCCCTGCTAGGAGAGGCTTCCTCCAAGGCCCCAATGACAGCATCTAGCTTTGCGTCATACGATGAGTTCCATTGCGCAATGGGACACCTCAACACCGATCACCCAGAACGCCTCTACGTTGACGGGCAGCTCGTGCCAAACAAACTGGCCGATTATCACTGCCCTACATGCCACACAATCCAAGTCAATACGCCGCCGGCCAATGGCACACCCGGCGGTACAGTGACAGACCAAGGCACCCGAAGTCATACATTCCGACCTGTCCGGTTGCTTCTCCCACAAGTCGCTTGGCGGCGCTAGGTACCGCATCACATTCGTCGACGGCGCCATTCGCTATACATGGATGAAGTTCCTCTTGCTCAGGTCTAATGCCGTCCAATCAATCATGGACTCTGTCGCATTTGCTGTCACTCAGTTCGACACGTCCGTCAAGCGTTTCAAGTCGGACAACGGAGGTGAATACACGGCCTCGGCTGTGCAGCAATTCTTCCAGCGCAAGGGTATCGTTCATGAGACCATACCGCCATACGCACATGGGCTCAACGGCGTGCCTGAACGAATCAACCGGTTCATCACGCAAATGACCCGGACCATGATCCCTTCTGACGATTTGCTACTTCTTTGGGCTGAAGTTGTACATACAGCTACCCCCTGCAAACCACAGTACCACATGCGTCGGACTCTCTCTGTCGGACACCGCATGAGCAGCCATTTGGCAAGAAACCTGCCGTCGGGAATCTCCACCCTTTCAGTGTCACTGCTTATGTTCACATCCCGGTCGAGGCTCGACAAGCTGCTGCCGAACTACTCTACCGAGCAGAGACTGGCATCTTTGTTGGCTATAGTCGCAACACCAAGACCACACGAGTCTACATTCTTGACCGGACTGTCGTTCTTGAAAGCCAAGACGCCACATTCGGTTCATTCAAGCCTGTCTCATACTTCCTAGGAACCCTAGAACCCGCCACTGTTGAAACCATCGGCGGCGATAACAACGATACTCGACTCTCTCATGTTCCATCAAACCGACGCAGCAAGAATGATCGGGCGGACTTGGGGGACACGCTGACGCATTTCGAGCGATAATTGCTCGAGGGCCTTGACACCGACATGCTACCACCAGTAACGTCTCGTTGCGGTGACCGCCGTGCTGGCGCAACTTATCCGCCACCGGCAGCTCGATTGGCAGACCCACTACATTCTTCTGTAAATCCTTCGTCGAGCGGTCAACTACCATCTCTGCGATAGAGCGACCGACTCGGCTGACTACCACAAACCCCATCCTCTACAACTACGTCACGCGAAGGAGCATCTGTGTCTGAGACCACAACACGTTTTGTTCGCGTTGTAAAACCCACACAACGCAAGAAAGATGCCGCCGCAAATAAACAATGTCAAGCTGCTACTATGCTAATGAATCTCCCTCTACTCTAAGGATACCTAGCGGAGATCTCTGCGTTCACAGCCGCCATTGACATTGATGATGTAATACCTCGATTATTTGAGGAATCCTAGGACAATCCACTTCGGCAATCCACTATTATCGGGGAAATCAATGCCGATGAGGGGAATGGGACTTGTGCACTCGTCGACGCTGAAGACTTACCACTGAACGTCAAACTCGTTGGCGCGATGGGTCTTCGCAATCAAGCGAGATAAGTCGGACAATCGTGAAGTGAAAAGCCCGAATTGTCGCTCCAGGATTCTCTCAACGACCGGGCGTCAACTTTGACGATATCTACTCACAGGTCATACGATACGGTAGCCTGCGAATTCATTCGTGAGTGGACGCTCCGGCAAATTGACTTTGATGCTGCATACCTGAACGCGAACCTCAAGCACACTCTGTATAGATGTTGTCCGCCAGGTTTTCGTGATGCCTGTGGAAAGTTCCTAAAGTTCTTGCGCTCACTCTATAGTCTCAAGCAGTCCGGACGCGAATGGCATAAAGTCCTAACCAGCTGGCTCCTATCTTTCGGTTCCACTTAAGCACGCTTCGATCCATGTGTCTTTATGTCAAAACAACCCATTCCTATGATCTACGTTGGCGACGTCCTCATGGCTGGCATCCCGGGCAGCTACCTCCGTCTTCCTCGAGAAAGCCGCGGACGTTTTAAGATTAAGGACCTTGATCGACCCAAGCTGCTGCTAGGTCTGGAGATTGACTACACCGACAACGGAATTCGATTTCACCAACGCGTATATGCTCCATCCATACTGCGTCAATACGGAATGGAGAACTGCAATGACAAGCGTACTCCGCCGGATCCGAATCATTTCCCTCCACGGTCCACTGACCCGGTCGACCGTGTACGAACTCAACTGTACCAGTCCATCGTTGGTTCGCTCGGGTTCCTTGCTAGTGTCAGCCGACCAGACATGTCGTACGTGACCAGTTTTTGGGAACGTATAACTGCAGCCCATCGGAAGCGCATTTGAAGTTGGCCTACCAAGTGCTACGATTCGTCTAGCAGGCATACAATCATGAGATCGTATTGAACGTCCCGCTAACTTCGAATGAGCCAGCATTATCACTCTTTCGCGACTACAGGTCAATCAGCGGTCGAAGCACCTCAACGTTCAATACTAGTTCGTATGTGAACGTTATCTGGATGATGGATACGATATTCAGCACGTCTCTTTCGCCAACAACCTCGCCGACATTGGAACCAAAGCAATGCCACGCCCAACACCGGAGTTTTCTCACCAATCACATTTTCAATGACGACCAATAACAGACTCTGTCCACTCCTGCTGTCACACTCTGTAACCAGCGGTTGGAACTTTTAGGGAAGTCATTCTCAACTGGTCAGCATTGCTGTTGGTCGACATGCGACTGCCTGATGCTCTTTCCGCATCTGCCAAACCGTCCGATCCTTGGCGTTTTCCTCATCACCAACCGGTCACAATACAACCAGCCCAATATTTCACATTGGTATATATGTTCCACTCGGGCTTCATTCATCATAAAATCAGATGAAGCCTTGGTGGTGCAGTGGTAGCACGTCGGCATTCACTCGCTGAAGACCCGAGTTCGAAACTTGGCTAGGGCAATCAATAGGGCCTGGGTTCGATCGATCCCTCGCCCTGTCTTTTCTTTTTTTTTTCCCCCTCATTCACGCCTTACTGTATGGTTATTCAGGATTTGTACATTTATCACCCCATGGCCATCGAGGGGCCTGTTGAGGGGAAGCGTGTTGAATTCCGCTAGGGAATCCCAAATGGGACTAGCTTATGTCTGTATAGGCAGCTTCCGCTGCAACCATGTGTTCGCTCCAGAGAAGCTTGAAATGATCGACCTCACGAGGCAGAAAGGCACTTACGCGCCACCTTGCGCGGTAGACGAACACCTCACAATACAACCGGTCACCCAAGTGACAGGACGAGCAGCCAGCACTCCGGTGGCTAGGAGTGTGGTTTGATCGAAAACTCACCTTCGAGAGGCACGCCGCCACTCGTGCGGCAAAAGTGACGACGATCGCCCATCATATTCGCAGTCTGGCTCGCACAACATACGGCCCACCGGCCAGTTCGCCTCGCAAGGCCGTGATCATGTGCTTGATACCACGGTTGTTGTATGGCGTAGGGGCATGGTACGGCGGGCGCACAAAGCCCCCACGTATCCAGAGAGAATCCAGAGCCAAAGAAGTTAGCACTCGATTGGGTTGGCACGTCTCCACTGTCGACAAGACTCTCTCGCTTGCAGCAAGAGGTGTCCTGCCTGTGTAGAGGACAACACACACTGCGGTTCTTCCGAGACGCTGGTCTGCCCTCTGGCCCAGTAGCACTAGAGGAGGCCAAAATACGATTCGCAATGCACTTGCAGACGGTTGACGAGAACCCCCCACTCAAGGAATGCCTCCAGCTCTCCATCGTTTCAAGGGGGAAGGTGCAGGACGATCACCACATCCTCGGACCAAAGTACAACTGCTGGGCCAAGCCTTACAGCCTATCACTCGACCAGTACTCGCCTCCCCCCCACTTCTCACCAGGCTGCAGAAAAGACCCCACGCCAGGCGAGAAAAAGAAATACGTGGCCAAAGCCTTTAGGAAATGACGGGCCCACTTGCTCTTTAACGACGTCACCGACTTCACAGACGGTTCAGAACAATGGTTCGACGGTGTCAAACATGTGACATACGGCTTCTCGATCGTTGAACACGGCCGACAAATCGACCAAGGCAGCGGCCCCTCACCCCCCCGATCCTCATTGTTCATGGCGGCTGCTGAACAGAAGTTCAAGTTCAATGATCTTGGTCGCCCAAAGATGCTCCTGGGACTCAAATTCGAATCCCCCAGGTCTGACGTCCGTCTACACCAGCGAACGTATGCTTCGTCTGTTCTCCATCGCTGTGGAATGGAAAATTCCAATGGACGGAGAACCACTCTTGACTTCAACGCCTTTCCTCCAAGGTCATTAGCGGATGATTTTATCGAGGTACCAATCGGTCATCGGATCGATCAACTTGATCGCCGCCGTCAGTCGGCCTGACCTCGCATACCCAGTCAGTATGATGGGATCATGTTGGACTGAACGGTACTTGACCTTCCTGGACGGTTTATTACTCCCCTTCCGGTCTAGCGTTAGCTGGTCCCTATATAGCCACTTCTCCTAAGTATCTTAGCTTAACACACAGTTCATCACTTTCTCACACTTGCTCTCGGGTCTCCATTGTCCAACAGTTATGGGCCCGGCCTAACTCCATCTATCTTGTCGTCATACATGAACAAGTAGCCGTACTGTCCCCGTCCACATCGATCCACCGACTCCGTGCAGCGCACCCTCCACCGCCTACTTAAGCGTCACTCTCGATCAAGTACCCTACAATACCTCCTCGCACAACCATCACGGCTACCGTCACAGCTTCCGACACCATTCTCACTAGTCCGAAGACCTGGGATGCTTGGTTTACCGTGCTTCGAGGCAAAGCAATTGCTGCTGACCTATGGGATTACCTTGATCCAGAGGCAACCGACAAGCCCTCACTCGAACCACCTGTGGTGCTACAAGGCAATGAAAACAATACTCGATCAACAATGTGGAAGGAAGCTCGCAAAGAATACTCCATCAAATACAAGCTGCTATCAGACCTAAGCAATCACATGCTCAATACAATCGCCATCACGCTATACGGGCAACTCATCGGCTATCCAAGGGTTGCTTAGCAGCTCGAAATCCTCCGTACCATGTTCAATCGCACTCAAGCGGTCAAAATCAACGAAGCGCGCAACGAATACAACGACACCAAGAAGAAAACACCAGGGCGGGATGCATTCGAGGACTAGTCTCACGAGTTCCAGATCGCAGTCAGCAAAGCAAAGGAATACAAGCTACCAGAAGTCGACGGCTTTCAAACCCAGTATAATCTTCTCGAGGTGTGCTCTCACATCAACTATACGCTCGCCACCACATCCTTGAACTCAACGAAGCTGAAACCGTTTACTGAGCTGCGGCTGCTAGTACAACCATGCGCACAGTGACAATTCCAGGTATCGTAAACGAAAAAGGCATTGAGACTCAACGTGCAGAGATAATAGTTCCTGCGGCTCCTCTGGTGATTCCAGACAAATACACTGTGAAGGCCCTCATAGCTCGATTCAATCAGTCAAACGCGCAGCTGGCTATACGTACAGTTCGAACCCGTCATACAGCTTTCGCCATCTACGGTGGAGAACCGTCACCATACGAATCCGACCCTCAATCAGCTACCTCCCGAAAGCGCACCACCTCGAAGGTCGATGAGAACAACAACAAATCGAAGAAGAAGAAGCAGTTTGCGTTGACTGGGGACTCAGTGCGGGAAGGCTGGGCTCCCTGTCCTTGTGCATATGGTAATTCTTACAACGGGTTTTGAAGACTGTCCTTACATCGTTTCTGACATCCGTCGACCAGGCTGGCGTCCAAACAAGCAAAAGGAAGAGAAGGCGAAGCACTGGTTCAATACCGGCAACACCGACAAGAGACACGAGATCATCGATTCCATACGAACCAGTCCGCGAACAAGCAACCGCTAGCTATCCGTCTCATCCGGCCAACCAATCATCAGATACGGTAGATGTAGGCGATCAAGCCTCAGATCCCGAAGCAGGAACCGAGCGCCAGTCTCGACCAGCTACACCGCTTTCAACACTCGCAAACGCAAGGATCCTTGTTTCTCCATGCTTCATTCGTGGACTCTAGACCGTGCGTCCGACGTACACGTCTGCAACAATCTAATATTGGAAGCGGAGACAGCGTCTCTCCTGTCTTGGCCTACGGCAAGTGTCATGTTACTCTCTCTACACCATCGGGTCCTCGGAAATTCACCCTTCTCAATATTGTCGCACTAGTACCGAACTACGTCACTTCATTGGTAGCTCTGTCACGTTTCTCGGGTGGCGACGTTCACTTCGAATTAGGAAGACTAGTCCTATACCGGCTAAGCCATAAGGACAGTACAGTGTGGTGCAACGTCTTTGAGAACGGCAGCCACTATGCTCTAATTGGTCGGCAGGAAGAGTTTACCGAACCGTCGGGGACGGTCAAGTACAGTTCTGAACCGTCTTGAACTTACAACAGTTCTGAACCGTTTGGTACTGTTCAAAACCATTCCGATTGACAACTACCGCCTCCGCTGGGCACCTACTACTATGCCATGGCTACCCCCGAACATCGAAAACGTCGCAACCAACAAAACCAATCCGAAGCTCCTCGTAAGCCACGTCAGCTCACATGACTTGAGGCGCATATACTACTAGGTCATCCGGGACCAGAGCCTCTCGAGCACCTTACTTCTGCTTCATCGGGGATCTACATTACAACCCCCCCCCTCCCCCTGCAGCAACCAAAGACTGCCCCCAATGCAGTGCAAACAAAGCAACCGAGCAAGTATCCCGTCGCTCTTAACGCGAGCAGCTACTAACAAAACTATTCGAGTCAATTGCTATTAATATCATCGAGCTTGACTGCCTCACGTTTACAGGCGAGCAATACGTATTCCATGCCTACGACGTATTCTCGAAGTTCAACTTTGCCTTCATCATCAAGAACAAGAACTAAGAGTGCTTGTTTGCTGCCTTCAAAGAACTCGACAAACTCATCAAACGCCAATTCAATACAGCACTTACCTTTCTCTATCTCGACGGTGAAAGAGGTTACGGCTTCGAAGCCCTAGATGACTCACTAGTTTCCTATACCAAGTCGGAAGGGAAACAGCTTCAACTCCGCTCTCCGGATACACCAGCACAATCTGGCCACGCAGAATGCTCAGGACGCAATCTAATTGAACGAGTTCGGTCACTCGTACAACGTCTGGTCTTCCTCTGCATCTCATAGGAGAGCTCTATTCATACGCCGCCTACCTCCCCAACCGCACTCCAACCAAAGCGCTTGAGTGGAAAACACCGTTTGAAACCGTCTACAACCGTCAACCGTCACTGACCCACATGCACATGTATGGCTATCGCGTATACGCTCTACGCAAAAACATCAAACGCAAAGACAAGCTCACTCCTCGAGCACTCATCGGCTATCTCGTTGGCCTCGATTCCCGCAACATCTATCGTGTTTGGCTACCAGGAGCTGCATCCTTCGGCTACAGAGGAAAGATCATCCGTACAAGAGATGCCACCTTTAACGAGCACCTATTCTACGGCTCACACGATGGGGAAATGCTAAGGGGTCTTGAGCTTAACGACGTCATCCGCACTATCGAACTCAATGACCCGATCAATCCTCCAGACAGTGACGCCTCTTCAGTCACAGATGACGAAGCCGAACCAGAGCATGGCAGCAGTGCTACCGACACGCGAACCATTACCGTCGATTCAGCCGAGGCTATGCTTGCTACTGACGCTTACAACGCTTCTCCAAATCCATATCCAACTCCCACATCTATGGCTACTCTAGGCCAACCATCTACTCAGCCGACACCGCCCTAGACAGTACCGAACCGTCACGGACGGTTAAGTAACGCCCCAGTTACGTCGTTAAATGTAATCGAGCTACCAAGCCGGGCAAAGCGCAAGTACACCACAAACAAGCACATCTAGTCTGCAAACGTACTTGATCGTC